GATGGATGGATGGATGGATGGATGGATGGATGGATGGATGGATGGATAGATAGATAGATAGATAGATATATACATATACAGTATAGGTCCATCTAATATGGCACCAATATAGCTAATATAGCATATATTCAAATCGCACTAATAGAGCCTGTTGTTCTGAGCCGCGCCTCTGCTTTCGGCTCAGAGCGGCCGCTGAGCAACCACTGGGCACGGACTGCTCGATCCCTTTTCTTCCATCAACCCTCCCCCAACCCGAAGCGCACCGGTACAATTAATTTGGACGGCATCTTGTTTCTCTGCTTCGCTGGCTTTTTTCAAACCCATGAAGAACGACTTCTACTGTTGCAGACATTATATAAGTATCTCACAGCAACAAACCACGGGAGTAGCTGAGACTGTTCCCGCTGCACACTTTTCGAGTCACTGTGTGCTTGATGGACGTTCAGACTTCAGTTTGATGCAGAAAGCAACACAGCTCGGTACACCCGAGGTGACATCTGCCATGCAGCAGATGCAAACTCTGGAGAGCAGACTTGGGAAGGCTCGATCCAGCTGAAGTGTTGTAAGGATGCCATTGCAATGGCCACACGCCTCCATGCCTGCAAGCATCTAAAAAGATGAATTCTCGAATTAGACCTGGACACTCCTTGGCTTTGCCGTTTCAGCTTTCCATTCACAGCTTCAGCCCAGGCTCTGAATATTGCAGTGAAGGATAATCCACATTCCAAGCTCTGGAGGCTTTCGCTCAACCTCTCCACCCGGCTTCGCCATTCCATGCGGAGCCGTGCCCTCTCAGAGACCTTTGCTGAAAAGGCGACGGTCCGAATCCTCCACACCGCAAAGGCGGCGCCAACGCAAAGCTCCTGGCAGCGCCATTGAAGGCTCCGCTGGCTGCGCCTTTGCAGGTCCAGCACCTGGTCGCAAAGGCGAACGTCCGCCGCACTGCCCCCGCGCTGCAACTGCGCCATCTGCAACTGTCTCAAGGAATTCCTAGGATCAAATGACTGTCGATTGAAAAAAGACTGCACAAAAACCAACTAAGTGCTCAAAAGAGCTGTCTCGACTCCAAAATCTGTTGTTTTGCCTAGTGTCAACTGTTCATGCAGCTCCGCAATCTCTGCATGAGCTTCCTCTCGCTCTGCCTGCATTGCAGCCTCTTGTTGCGTGAGCCGCTCGTAGGCCAAACGAAGTGCTTCCTCGGCGGCTCTGCTTTCCTCTTGGAAATCTGCCACCTGGACTGCATCCTTCAGAGTGCCCTTCGCATGTGCCGCCTCAATGGCCAGTGTGTCGAAAGCGAGGCGGTGAGAGGAAAGCAAGGCTTCGATATCCTCCAGGCAACACTCTTGGCAAATGGGATGTTCTGTTATAGATTGCCTTGCGGACATTGTGGACATTGCTTTTCCCAAGCTCTTTTCAATGACCAATCTTGGAATTGAACACGATCTATCCGTAGGCTCTATTCAATGTGGTTGTCTTGCTTCTCCGTAGAACTCCAACACCTCAGAGACAGGCCCAAACTGAATAACATCCCGAATTGCCCCTCGGAAAAGTAATCTTGAAGTCCTTAGGGTGATTTTGGCGATGCACACTCCAAATAAAACGCTGGACGAACAAGGCATCCACCTCTGCAATCCGACACAAAAGTAAAGTCCTGCAAGTCCTCCGCCGAAAGCAAAGCTGCCACTGCTCGGACGGGCCGCAGCTCGGCCATGCAGCTGCATAAGTGGCAGGCAGGGAGTCATCGACAAATGTCTAGTGTCTTAGAAACCTAAGTCAGGATCACACTGCCCAATCATGTTGTAATTGCTGAAGCATCCCATAGCCCATTGCTACATTGTGTCAGCAGCAAATCAATGAATCAATCAATCAATCAACCGACCAACCAACCAACCGACCAACCAACCAACCAATCAATCAATCGGCCAAGAATGGAGCTGAATCTCAGGAGGCACATGGTCTTCTGCTTCATTTGACATGAACTGGAAATTACAAACTAGATCTCAATCACTCAAAGGGTTTCACTCCGACAAGTACTTCTGAACTAGGTCGCTGTTGGTATCAGCTCCTGGCCTGACAATGCTCCGAACCCTTGAGCGTCCAAAGTGGTTGTTCTTCGAACCTAAGAAGTGCACATGAATTCGAATGCAGGCTTGTTAGTCAGCCAGCTCTTCATTTTTCCTCCCAGGTCTGCATGTGTAGCCTGAAAGACTGATGACTTCTCCGACTTTATCCTTGAATTCCCTTCTTCTCTAAACACACTGACAGCAGCCGCCAAGTACACAAGCATGGTGAACTACCATGCTCCTAACCACTTCCTCTTCCTTGTCCTCATCCTATTCCTTTCCTTTGCAGTTACCACTGCTATCTGCTTCTGCTTCCACATCTTCCCCTTCCTCCTCATCCTCCTCCCCCTCCTCCTCTTCTTGTTCCTCTTCTTCTGCTTCTTCTCCGGCTTCTGCTTCTGCTTCTCGTCTTCTTATCCTTTTTCTCCTTCTCTGCCTTCTCCTTCAGTAACTCCTCCTCCACTCTTCTTTTACTTCTGGGGTCACACCAGCTCAAGTCCGAAATATTGGCGAGAAAGCCAAAATAGCAAACAAGTGTCAATACTCAATACCTTACAACTTTTCATTCTACGTCAGAGAAGCATGGAAGATATTTACAATCGAAGAATGCAGGACCATTTCCTCACTGCCATCCGGGTGCCACACTGCTTTAGCTTCAAGTGTTCACTCCGTGACCTGGCTACCCAGTTCCACCAGTTGGCCCTGCCTCTGTTGCAGCAGTGTTGCTTAAATTGAAAAAGGCTGATCGGAACCAACCTATCTATTTTCTGCAACGTAAGTCAGCATGCAGCAGGGAAGGTGGCACCTCTCAGTTTCTGCGATGTAATGATCCAGGCAATCCAAAATATCCTGGCAGCACTTACTCATCAGAGATCTCACAGGTTAAATCGCCAGTCCCACCTCATTGTCACGCTCCAGGGCCACCTCCCAGCAGCTTAGGCCAGCCTGTGGCATGTTCAATTCGCAGCAAATTGGGTCCCGAACACGGCAAATAGCGCACGTGCTAAACACCCAGTGGGGCATCCACTCCCGTGCTGGGACCAAATCCACACCAGTGAAGCACATGCAGGCAATCGAATTCCACTCTCCTTGGCAAATACTCCGTGGTCATCATCATCATCATCATCATCATCATCATCAATTGAATCATCGTCATCAATACTTGGTTGGACACTGGCAGTGGAGGAGTTCTACTCAGGAGTTCTACTCGGCATTGCCTCAATTTCGCTTCCATCCCAACTCCCGCCTCATTTCTGGCAAATGGGTTTGCTCCACCAGACATGAGCTCCTCTCGAAACATGACTCAGGACAAACAAGCGTTCCTGGGTGGTCCTTAAAAGCAAAACCAAACAATGAGCACTTTGCCAAGTGAATTGTGACTTGAAGCATTGAACGCTACCACCACAAAAATGTTGCCAGACCGCCAGAAAGAAGACTTCTGCCTTGATCACATGCAAAGACTTCTCAGCCACAGCATAGACCAAGCCGTCGGACCTGATTCTGACAAAGGAAAAATGAAAGAAAAAGCAAGGCCGAAAAAATGGTAAGCGCCGAAGGGCCCCTATAATAATGCCCCCTTCGCTTTTGTGCCGATGTCAAACACATGTCGTTTCACTTTTCCTTGTTCCTAGCAAGGGGTAGTCAAATGGCATCTTCTACATAGGACATAGGCATGGCCAGTAGCGTGGTTCCATACCCCCTGTCGCAACATTAACTTCAAGAGAAGAAAAAAGGACAAGAGAAAATCTAGGGACAAGAGTCAAGAGTAAATCTAAGGATCATGCATTGCACCCAGCTCCAGCAACCGAGTGACCTTGGCACACAAGGCCAGCCAGCACAAGAAGCACCGCCAGTGCATCTTTCCTGAGATCATTGCCTCATCCCTGCGTTGTCATTTTTGCAATCTTGATGTGAAGAGACAACAGCTGTCAGGTCCATGAGTGGTAATACAAAATATTGTGTATTTATATAGGAGGGCCTACAAACAGCTATTTGTACTCGTGGTGCACAGTGCACACTTTCAATCGAGACGTTGACTCCTATTTGATCAAGTCACTGCATCACCGTTGTCTTGGAGAATGGCCTAGCACATCACACGTTGCATTCCAAAGGGAAAGTTCCAATCAAATGCCACTGACGTGTTGCACTTCCACCCAGCAATTACTTCCTGAATTTCTATGTAGTGATGGTCAGGGCGAGTTCCACTTGAGTGCGGAATCATTCTCAACATGACGTGAAAAACCATCGAGCTGTTTTCGCGTGTTGTGCTTCCAAACAGCAACCCTCCTCAGCCATGGGAGACCGAGTGCCACCGTTGTCAAGATCTCCGCCCTGGCTCTCCAAGATATTCACAAGCTCAGCCTCAGAGGAACCCAAGCATCTTGACAACAAACCCATGCATCTTCGCATGCCTTCTTTGCCCCTGATGAACATTTACCGGGCTCAGCCATCCCATGGATTGACGAATTCTGGGCCAAAAAATCCTGCTATTTGCTAGCAACCAGCTCGACTGCCTGCAAGCTCCAACTCTGGTCCAACTCTCCATTCTGGGTGACCGGGTGACCCAAACGCTCCTCTGTGCAGCATCAGTGCCCTTCCTTTCTAGGGAGACAGCCTAGGTTTGTGGCTCAGCGGACTCATCATGTTGAAAGCACAAATACTCACTGACAATTCATACAACATATGTCCTCAGCAATGTTGGCCTGAACAAATCTCGAATCAAGAAAAAGAACTCTCGAAAGTGCGCTAAATGATGTAGCACACAAATGGCCACATCCAACTACACGCTCAAAGCCCAAGAAATTTTGCCCACCCAGTTTATGCAGCGACAGGCGACATATCTGAGGGCTGTTTTGCCATGGTCGTCGACCTTAGCTGCAAATCTTTTGGTGTGAGACCCGCACAGCTTTGTGTCGTAGCCCTGCTTTGCAAATGCCAAATTCTGAGGCTCTTGCAGCTTCAGGATCTGCTTCACTTTCCAGCAACACCTTGAAATCTTCCCCAACTTCCAGAACCCAATCCATGGAGATGCCACGTGTAAGCTCTGTGTCCACAAAATGAAAAAGCCTAGCAGGACATCATTGGACTACCTTTCTGGGGAAGCGACCTTGTACAGCTTAATCCAGCTGTACGACATAAAAACTTGGTGTTCACTTGTCTAGCCCTTTTTTCCAAGTGTAGTGAAACCCTCCAGCAATTGCAAGGGTGAATACTACCTGAAGCATTCAACACTGCCTCCGCCAAGCCCACGTTCTTGTGGAAGCAAGCAAACATGAGCCTGTCGGAGTTCATGGATCCCTTGAGGCATGGGCCAGAAAATGCTTTACTGTAAAACATTGTGTGTTAATATATATATATAGAGAGAGTCTGGAGTATGCTTTCCTTACTGCAAAATGGACCTGACTACTCGGGGTTTTCCTCACGGTCTACGAGATGGAAACAAGCCAGTGTCACGGAGTGGAACCCAAGGTGCTGCGAGCATTTGGATTCGCCTGATGGAAGAGTGACTGGATGGTCTGCAGTTTTTGACTCCGCTCTATCAGATTTTGAGGATGATCTGTACCTAATTGTTGAGTGGCATCTCACAGGAACCCTTGTATTGAAAGTGCTAGTATGCCTGTCGCGTTCTTGCTCCGACACGAAATGGTCCATCCTCCCCTGCGTCTGTATTCAGCACCTGGGCCTGAATCAGTTCTGCCACAATGTGAAGACCTGGAGTGGCCAACGAAAAAGAAGCCAAACATTGGGCGCTGCCTCCACCCTCAGGTGACAGTGATTGATGATGGTTGATCATTGTGTATGTAGCAGCTCACTGTCTTCAAAATCAATTAATGCTACTATATATTTACTGGAAAAAAGATGCTGGAGAAAGAGAGGAACATAAACCCATGGCCATGCTGCACACCCCCAAGACTGACCGCACGAATGGAACAGGACGACAGAAAATACAACCAAAGTCTTGAAAGTGGGACAACTCCTGCTGGGATGACCATTTGGCAAGCCAGGTATGCTAGCAATGACCTTGGCATGCTGACACGACGAATTTGCTGGCTAACAGGATATGCAAGCAAAAGCACTTTAGGAGCAAGAAAGATCTGGGCACCCTGCATGCAGAAGGGTGAGGTATTCATCGCCTCCAGCGACATGTAGCGGCGCATTGACCGGCGCTTCTGCCATGATGTACCTTAGGAACATATCAATCAGTTGAGATCACCAAGTTTTTGTCGCGTTGAAACACCTTCGATTACAGCCATGACAGGCTTTGGCTTTCACTCTGAGTCTCGGACTTTCGTACTAAACAAATATCACCTCTGAGTGCTGCTTCCTGGAGCCCATCCACTGATGTGTCTTGCCTCACACGACACCGTGCACGGAAGGCAGAAAACAAAAACCATGACCAGGGATGGGAGACTACACATGACTACACTATGCAGGGACAATGGTTCAAAAAGACCAGAAGTTGCCCAAGGAACCGCCCTGGACTGAATGTCACGCATGACTCACATATGCTTGACAAAAACACTTAGGCCAAGTGTTAGGTCGAAGCCGCATCTCTCATGATCTACAATGTTGTGCCATGACTTCCATGATCTACAAAGACAATCCCTGATGTGTTTTTAAAAGCATGATCCCTTTCAGTGTTTGTTGTGGGATGTTGGAAGCGTTGGAGCCTACCAATGCCGCCAGGCAACAAGTCACCATCCGGATCTCCCAAGCCACCCGGTGCAAACCAATGAGCAGGCCTGAACACTTCCAAATGCATGGAACTCAGCCGGGCCAAATGCAGCCTGTCTTCGACAATGTACCAGGTGCAAACTCTCGTCATTTCTCGGTCCAACTCTCAGGTGCCAACTGTGCGACCACATCTTCAATCTCTGTGTCCGGCCTCGCACAGCACAAGTCAGCTGGTGCAAAGACCATCACAACGCATTTGGAGGATTTTGCAGTATTAAATTTGTGTATATACAAAGGATTGAGTCGACATCAGGCAAAACAGCAAGCTAAGCGGCTCAGAGTCATCGTCTTTTGACTTGACATCCTCAGCAGAAAACGGGTGGCCTTTGAAATCGAACGTGGAATTCTCTCGCAAGATGGCCTTTTGCGAAGAGACACTTAGAAAGAGATCCCTGATCCTGGGATATATCAGGAACGCGCCCACGCAAGGCCACGAAGACCACATTGTATAAAGAATATTGAAACAAAAACATGCGCACCACATTCTCCGTATGCAATACAAAAAGCATGTCCGCGGTGGCCGCCGTGTACTAGATTCATTATGCCAGCCAAAAGAATGGTGTTGTGTTAATCTAATGTTGGATCACGATTAGTAAAGGGGACTTCTAGAATGCTAAATTTTTCCAAAATTATTCAGACCCCCCTGTTTGAAAAATGGTACCTCTATAATGCTAATTTTTTTTTGGCCCTAAATCGTTAAATTGGAAACCCAATTAATGAGGGTTTGAATTCCTTCTGAACCCTGTCCACCTGCACTCCCCCTCCCTTCCTTCTGAACCCAATTAAACCCTTTATAAAACATTGCTCCTAAACAAATTTTCAAGGTAGTAGACCAGGAAGGCACCTGATCCTCAATAATAAATTTGTTTTTGGGACCTCAATTGTGAAAAGTTTTTTCCACTGGAAAAAATGCACATGGAATCTCCC